AGGAAATGTTTTGAGAATGATGAGGGCAATGAATGTACAAATGTACTTTACACAATTGATGTGTGTATGGATTGTGATTAGTTGTATGAGCCCCTAATAAAATGATTTTAAGAATAATATTTTTTTTTAAAAGAAAGATGATAGAATTGTGGCCTGGATCATAGGTTCAATCTCATCTTAACCACTTCTTGGCTGTATGGTCTTGGGTAAATTATGCATCTGCTCTGAGGCTCAATCTCTTCATCCATGCAGTTTATGGAAATGGCACTCTAGTATAGGTAAGCCCATGGTGTCATTTTTTATATATTCTTACCCTCTAGCTTATGGTAAGAATTAAATCAATTTCAATGCAGTGGGTATTTTTAGGCCATGGTCTCTTGAACTAAAAAGGTAAAGTTATGAGGGTGCGAATGAGGGGGTGACACCTGCAGGGCTCCTATTGAATTATCTCACTGGGTCATGAGCAGCAGGACAGGCTAGTGCAACACAGAAGTAGAGAAGACCAGACGCCCGGAAGTAGGCCACTTTTGGAGGATACTCAGATCTGGAATGGAGGAAAGATCAGGAGTAATTAAACAAATGAAAGATCTCAGCAGGGATCAGATTCCAAGCCCCAAGTACCCAGAAGTAAACAGCACACAGGCATACAGAGCTCTAAAGTCAAGAAGGGAAAAGCAAATTGGACCATGCCAACCGTAATCAGGATGGAAAGTGTCTCCTCATTGGACAAGACGGCGTGGGGTGTTTGCGTTCCAAGGAGGGGCTGCCCAGTGGATGATGGGAGATTAGAGTAGGTGATGGTGGTACAGCGATAGAGGACTGTGGCTTCACTATGTCAGCGGAAGGGCTCTTATATCCTGAAACAGAGGTGCCATTTGCATCCCACAAGTCACCTTTGTCAGGTCACGGAATGTTTTTTTCAGTTTGAGGGTCTTGTTTTTCCTAATAAGGGGCTCTTGGATTCCACTAAGCCAATTTACTGCTATAATAGACTTTTGAGAGTCTCAGGTTAAAAGTAATGAATTATCAGCAGCAGGCCTACGGATTAGAGCTGAGAGACGATTGAGAACCTGTAAGAGAGAGTATGGCAGACTCCACAATCCTCTTGCTCCCACCTCCCATCTTTGTTGGGTTGGGTGAAAGCTAAGTGTATTGAACGTGTGAACTGTGCCGACTTCTGATGTATGCTTCTCCCCGCGGACTGTTGACTGCTTATCCCATCCTCAGGTGTGTGGATGTCCTGGAGCTCTGTGAGCAGGAGGACTTGATGCGATTCCATTACCACACGCTGAGACTCTACAGCGCCGTGTGCGCCCTGGGAAACAGCCGAGTAGCCTACGCCCTGTGCAGCCATGTAGACCTCTCCCAGCTCTTCCACACCATTGACAACAAGTACCTCCCTGGCCTCCTTCGATCTGGGTTCTACGATCTCCTCATCAGCATCCACCTGGCCCATGCTAAGGAGAGGAAGCTGATGATGAAGAATGAGTATATCATCCCCATTACCAGTACCACCCGGAAAATTTGCCTGTACCCAGACCAGTCCAAGAGGCATGGGCTGCCTGGGGTGGGCCTGAGGACATGCCTCAAGCCAGGGTTCGGGTTCTCCACCCCTTGCTTCGTTGCGACCAGTGAGGAGCACCAGACGCAGAGCCCTGAGATCCCCTTGGGGATTCTCAAGACCAAGGCGCTGAGCATGCTGACTGAAGCCGTGCAGTGCAGTGGAGCGCACATCCGGGACCCTGTTGGGGGCTCTGTGGAGTTCCAGTTTGTGCCTGTGCTGAAGCTCATCGGCACGCTGCTGGTCATGGGGGTGTTTGATGATGACGACGTCCGGCGGATCCTTCTGCTGATTGACCCCTGTGTGTTTGGAGAGCACAGTGGGGCAGCAACGGAGCAGGGAGCCGAAAAGGAGGAAGTGTCCCAGGTGGAGGAGAAGGCAGTGGAGGCTGGGGAAAAGGCCAGCAAGGAGGCCCAGGCGCCAGTCAAAGGCTTGTTGCAGACCCGGCTACCTGAGTCCGTCAAACTGCAGGTAATTCAAGGCAGCAGAGGCGGTACCTTTGGGAAGGGTCTGGGAGGGAGTAGGGGTAGCCTGGTGATGAAGCTGGGTCTGTGGGCACCTGTTGCTGAGAGTGTGTCCCAGGTATTCCCAGAGGGAGAGGCTTCTGCCCCCAGTGGACGCTTTTGACCTAAATCCATTCCTGGAACTCCCCCCACACCAAGATAAAGCGCTCTTGTCACGAAAGCATGTGCTTTCAAATGAGCTTTCTGGTTCCACTTAGGGTTTGCTCTGAATCTTATCCCTAGACTTGATAACCCAAGTGGTCATTTGTGAGAGAATTGTAAGGGGCAGTGGGGAATCCTTTGGCTGTGGCCTCATCCCAAAGTAATTGCTTCATTGAGTGATCCTGTTCATGACAGGTCTCATCACCCAGGGAAGGCTGCAGGAACATTCAAATAAGCGGCCATCTCAGCTCGGGAGAGCAGCTGGGGTCCTGACAGCCATCTTCCTGGTACCACCTAGGAACCCTCAACGTTTTCTAAGTGACCGTCTGTCCACATGCGAACTTCTATCAGTGACAGCTGTGGTCTTCTGAGAACTTACGTCCATGAGGATAGAGTAGAATGGTCAGGCCCAGAAGAGAGAACCCGCACTCGGGGGGCCAGGCATCTCTGAGTTTGAGTGCCTAGTCCTTGGCTGTTTATATGAACTCACCTAAGTCAAGACTTATCAGAGTAGCTGTGTTGCTTTTAAAATGTGGATGATTAGAAAACAATATCTTAACAAGATACAATATTAAATATTTTTATAACATGAACTATAATAATGGGGAGCCCTGGTGGCATAGTGGTTATATGTTGGCTCCTAACTGTAAGGTCAGCAGTTAGAAACCACCAGCTGCTCCTGGGGAGGGAAGACATGGCTTTCTACCCCCGTAAAATATTATAGTCTCAGAAACGCATGGGGTTAGTGTTCTACCCTGTCCTACAGGGTCCCTGTGAGTCAGCATCGGCTTGAAGGCATTGTGTTTTATACTAATCATGATAATAATGTACAGTAGAAACTCTCTTCCCTGATATAATGAGATTACAATTCAGTTAATCAAAAAGTTCAGTACAGAGGAAAAGCATGACCCATTTTACATCTGAGAGAATTTCAGCATTTGTATTAAAATGGAATTAAACCAAAGGGCAAAGTTCACAAGGGTTAGGCAAAAAGGAGTGGAGACGGGGACCACAGAGAGGAAAGGAAGTAAGGGGGGTGGGGCAGATGGAGGGGAGTGCACTGGATGAGAGGAAATAAAATGTAGACGATGTAAAATGAGTGATCTGCTCTGCAAACCGTCACCTAATTCTCCACAAAAACCTTAAAGAGAATAATGATGGATTTTCACATGAACTGTTGGAAGCCCTCTGGGATCTGCTTGAACTATTTACACACCCTGTGCTACATCAATGTAGAGTCAAGACCTTTTCTTTGCTGTCATGCCACTGACCGGGACGTAGAGTTGTGGGGTTTGGGGGGGCATTTTTCTGCAATGGCCCCTGTAATACAACCTCTATAGCTGGCAGTGTAGGTGTCTTCAAAATAGACACCCCATCCCCTAGGCTTAAGTTACTTAGCAAACAAGCTGAGTGCAGAAGGCTTCAAGATGTTTATGATTTTACCCCAATTTTTCAGTCGCTGGGTAACCCACGCCCAATTGTACTGCTTGTTTCTAAAACAACTCACTTTTACAGATGTTCCCGAGTCGTTCAGCTGAGTTTTCATAGTGTCTTGCCTTAGATAATAGAGAGTTAAATGATGCCATGTCAGGCATCAGCTCTGGGTCCTCGTGCTGGTGGGAGCCCAGGTGTACAGGTGTACCAGAGAGCGGGGGCCTGGGTGAGAGCAGGCTCAGCCGAGACAGCCACTGCATGTGCACAGAAGGGAGTCGCCCGCCAGTCCCTTGAGGTGGTTAGATGGAGGGGGAATCACAGAACCGCTTAAAGAAAAACATCAGGAGTATACTGAGAATTACAGAAAATAACATGTGAGAAGTGCCTGCAACAATATGTGGCAGATGGTGCTCTATGAGGTATGGCTATAATTGTCAAAAGTAGACAGTTCAGTAGTGCTAAAGTTAGCAGTAATGACAGTCCTAAAACTGATGGCATAAATGCAGGGCAGGGGAGCAAAAAACAGTGAAAGATGGAGAAGGTTCTGTTTCCCATTATCCCAGGCCAGGGAGCCAACGCTCCCGTGCAGAACTCAGTGATGGTTTACATACTGAACCTTATCACCCTGGGAAAATACTTTCTTGGAATGCTGTTGTCTTTCCACAAACAGACTGTGTGTCTTTAGTAAGCTCCTTTTCCTATAAGAATTGTTCTCTGAACTCAGACATATTTACCTTTCAGCGGACTCTATGTCTGTGTTGAATAGCTATGTCTATAATTGACAAACGGAACGAGTTACTTAAATATCTGAGTAACTTGTTAGATATCTAAGTATCCACCTCACCAAAGTACCAAAACTCCACCCACAGCCATTGAGTTGATTCCGCCTCCTAGTTACCTTCAAGGACAAAGTGGGATTGCCCCCCTGGAATTCCCAAGACTGTAAGTCTTTACCGAAGTGGAATGCCACATCTCTGAGCAGAGTGGCTACTGGGTTCTAACTGCCAACCACTGGGCCACCAGGGCCCCTCCCCAGTGTACACATACAGTTGATAAGATGCAAACGTGTGTATTTCCTTGTGCAGATGTGTGCGCTTCTCAGCTACCTCTGTGACTGCGAGCTGCAGCACCGCGTGGAGGCCATTGTGGCATTTGGTGACATCTATGTCTCCAAGCTCCAAGCGAACCAGAAGTTCCGCTACAACGAGCTCATGCAGGCTCTGAATATGTCTGCAGCCCTGACCGCCCGGAAGACCAGGGAATTCCGCTCACCCCCACAGGAGCAGGTGAGAGCCCCTTCCTCAGCCTCCCCCTGATGCCTATGAAAGACCTTAAAATCACAGAGGCAGGGCTCCTGGTGGCTCCTATGGTACCAGAACTCCTTGTGCCTGGGTAGCCACAGGCTATGGAAGATTAAAAGACCCACCAAAGGTCAAGAGGAAGGTCAAAGGAAATAGAGGAAAGAGCTGGGAGGCAAAGGGCATTTATAGAGGTCTCAATACAGGCATGTACATATGCAAATATATTTATATATGAGGATGTGGAAACAGATCTATGTGCATGTCCTTATAGGTTTAGTATTAAGGTAGCAGAAGGACATTGGGCCTCCACTCAAGTGCTCCCTCAATTTCTTCTATTAAACTGGCATTCTATGATGCTCACTTTCCTGACACAAC